ATTATTTGGAAAAGCTCAAAATATTTCATAGTTCCAAAATGTAAAATCAACTTTTTTTTCTCTATCTCTCTCTAAATTTTTCTTTTTTTGTTTCTTTTTTTTTTAACAGCTCTGCAACTTTACAATTTCCCTATACCATAGACAAACAAACAATAAAACAAATCACAACCTCACACTTCTCTGTCATTTTCAGTTTAATTTATTTTGCCATTGTCTTGCACTAAAAAGGGAGTGGCCTTCACAAAACAAATATCAAATACTAACTTCACAAAACCAATGGCATTCACATTACCAATGCTACTTCTACTACTAACATTCATCAGCTGTCACACTGGACTAAGACTAATAAAGGGGGGGGGGGAGGAGGAGGATAAAAAACAAATAAATAAATAAAAAATAATGCACAATCTTCATTTCAAACAATGAGGAAATATGAAGTAGAAAAAATATATTTTAAATATCATACTATTTTTTAGGCTGGCTAGTCCATTCATTGCATGATTACCTAACAGTCCTCTATGTTTATAAAAAAAAAAAAAGAAAAGAAAAAAAAAAAAAAAAACTTTCATAATTAACATTACATGCTTCACCTTACTTCTTGCATATTGACTTTTCTTATTACATTTATAACCAAAAATGTATATAACTATGCAACATAAACCAGACTGAATTTTTACCACAAAAGTGAAAGGGGTTGAAAGTCCTACGGGAAAAAAATAATTTAATAAAATGTTTTCCATAGTCTAAAAATAGTATCTGATAGCCTAAGGAACTTCTAACTTACAAAAAGAAGTTCAGACAAAATAAGAGAGATTTGTAGAATGACACTATTCACTCATCAAAAGAAAGCTGCCTATACACATATACTTTAAGAAAAAAAAAAAAAAAAAAAAAAAAAAAGGAAAAAAGAAAAAAAAAAGAAAGAAAGAATGAAAGAACAAAAGGCCCATACACTCCCCTCAAATAACATGGGTTTCCTTTACATTAGCACTGAAAGACAGTCGACTTGAAAAGAAAGACAAAGGAAAAAGTAGAAAACCGAGATCTCTTGCTAACACCAAAAGGACATCGTTGCTTTGAAAACTGACAAAATCTCCCTAAATAGTACAGCAAAATCTCACAGAATAAAAAATAATTTAGCTTTGAACACGGAATAAAATCCACAAGCATGCAAGCACACAAATGCAGAGCATACTTTTAATACACTAATTAATGACCATGTGAGACTCAATGGCCTTAGTAAAATTAAAACCCATTACCAAAAAATGGCAAAATGTCACTCTGACCTTAATATAACCATTAGCTTGGAACAAACACTGAGGAATAGTTGTTGAACTGCCAAAAGTATGACAGAAAAACACATGGTAATACACCAACAAAACCAAATATAAAAAACTTGGATAATTATAAAACACTAAAGATTGTCAATACAAATCCAATCACATAAAAAGAATTACAATGTCATGTTCATCTGCAAAAAAGCTAAACTAACCATAGCCATTCCACTGTTTACATCATATTTCATAAGGCATTGGAGCAATATCAAATCTGATTTCAAAAATGAACATTAATCCCACAAGAGACTTTATAATTAGGGTATAATCACTGACAAGACACTGATGAGAGCAAATGAGGAGACCTAACCAATGACTACTACACAGACACTAAATAAGACTACAGCAACATATATTTTGGTATCTGTGAGTGTCTTAAAATGAGGCTTCTAATTTGAGTGTCTTCTATTTCAAGTATGTTGATGGAGTCCTTTGCAGCAAAGATGTTGCCATTTACTGACACTTGAGGTGCTCTTTGGGATTCTTGGAAGAGCTTCGTGACGGGACAGGGAGGATTTTTGGCAAAACAATAATAGCAAAGGCTCCCAGCCAGAACTGGAAGAAGAACATTTCTCTGCAAAGAAAAGGGGGTAAAAATGTAAGGAGAAAATCATATTGCTCATTTATTCTCAGTCCCATACTCTGTTTGAATACATCAGACTGGTTTAATAACCAAATCTCTCTATCCATCTAACTAGCTATATATCTATCAACCCATCTACACATTAGAATAAATCAGATTTGTTTATGAAGACATTCTATATGATTAACAGCAGTCAAATCTATCTAACCTATTTATCTATCTACCTTTCCATTCTTCTATAATTTACAATACATCATGTTGGTTTATCAAGAAATAAATTAAGAGTAGTCTAATCTGTCTATCTGTCTGACTCCACATGTTAGAATACATCAAACTGGTTTATCTGCATGATCATGAGTAGCAACACCCAAAAATCTCACATCTTCTTACCTGTAGACTGCAATGCTGCCCCAAAATCTCAGCAAGATGAAGGGAAATGTGAAGTAGGCTAGGCACAAGCGTGTGGTAACACACGTGAGAAGATCATAGACCTTCTTTAGCACAGGTCCTCTTGTCATAAAGTATGGTCGTACCGAACGCCTCACCTGGAGTAAGGGAAAATAGGGCAAAATAATGGGAGGTACTAATGCATGAAAATGTTTAACCCACTGATTGCAGGTACCTGTACTGTCCATAGATGGTATTACTTGTGCTCAGCCACCAAGGAATTAATTAGTATGCTCTGTGTGACCTGACTTGAATTTCCCCTGAATTTCAATACTGATACTTGTTATTATCATTGACATTACTAACATGATCAAAATGTTAATAAAAATAATAGCAACAAAAAAAAAAAAAATCAACTAATAACTAAAAATCACAGCAGACAAGGCATATATCTCATGCCATCCCAGTATGAAGGCTTAAAAATTATACTTGCTTCCTGACTTGCCACCTTCAGTTCTTAACTAAGAAAAGGTGATGGTTTACTATGAAGAAAATGCCTATAGATGTCATAATAAATTGTGCCAGGTATGCCTATAGGTGTCGTATTGCACGAGAGCAGATCGAGCAGGAAGTTCCCATGCCAAAGGCAGGATGGTTGCCAGAAGTAACCAATCAGTGACACCGAGGGATTTCTGATACTGTCATTGAGAGGTTGAAAAGCATATGTAAATTATCAACTGCATAATTAATCCAGCACTAATGGGACCTGAGCAGTGTTGGGTTAATGATCCTGAAACCTACATGGATCACTTCTATATAACAGTTAACCCCTTCAGTCCGGATGACGTGCCCATCACATCATGAAAAATCTTGGCTTGAGGGGCAGGTGACATGAACATGCCATCATAGGAAAGTTTGGTTATGGGCCACGTGACGCAAACTCTCCATTGTGAGCTTTTCAAGCCAAAAGTGCAAGAACCTCTTAGAGGGTGATTAGACTCATTTGGCAGTTAGGAAAGAGCTTTCGCATTATTTCCATCAATAAACAGGTGTGGAATGTAATGTCTATGTTTCATGACTGAAAGCGTGGCAGCTCTGTGGCAGATGCCATTTCCATGCTTGAGTCCTTTTCCTGCCCACTTTGACCAGTAGCGCAGGTTGTATCACAGAATATTGAAAAAAAATAAATAAATAAATATAAATATATACAGATAGTCCCCTACTTAAGAACATTCTACTTACACACATTCTGTACATACAAACTTTTTTTTTAAATACTTCAAGTTCAAAAAATTTTTTGAAAGATGCTAGCAAACTTCAAATTTCCCGGGCGCGAATATAGTTCATGAGTCTGCCACACCGTGGTGCGGCTGCGCTCACTCAGCTGTGCACATCACTTGCCTGCCCTCCCCCATAAACACGAAAGCATCTCTTCACTGTGTCCTCGTGTACCGGCAATTTTGTGCCATAATTCACTTTACCTGTGCATCAACCCATCAAAAATGTCGAGTGTGAAGAGAAAGATAAACGGTGAAGCCAGTGGAATTGCCAAGAAACGTCAGGCTATAACTTAAAGATCTTATCAATCAGTTCGCCAGCCAGTCAACACTACAATATAATTTCTTTTTGAATAAATTATGTCTCTACATTTAAAGTTGTATAAATCACCATCAAATAATATTAACCCTTTCATGATGGGTGACGCCGCTAGGCGTGAAAAGAAACCGCTTGAAAAGTGGCGCAAGGCTGTACGTGCGGTGACGTGCCAAAGTGCGGTGGGCCAGTAATTCTGCCTGATGTACCGAACTCACGCACTCAAAGTCGGCGCGCTGGCATTGTTTGCCAGAGCATAGAGTTTTTTATTTGCTAGTCACCACTACAATATATTTTCTTTTTGAATAAATTATGTTTCTACATTAAAGTTGTATCAATCACCATCAAATAAGATTAAAAGCATTACATATTACAGGTACTGTATAAGGTATGTTGTACTTATTGGGTTAACCTTCCCATCTTTAAAACATCACATAAATCAGTAAAAGTTATTGCACAGCTATCAAGCCCAGGTATTGTCCATTTGCACAATACTTCCAATGATGTCACCTAAAATAACTGCAACAAGTAATTATTTTTGGGAAAATATACCTTTCCTTGTTCAAGAGCCCTAAAGATTTTACAGTTATAATTATGTACTGAGCTACATATCCTGTACTGTAGCAGATGGCAACATATATAATTTTAGATTATATAGTCTTATGTATAAATCTTAACTACTCATCATGATAATGACTGAAATAGTAAGGAATAATATACTATGGTTAATTTAGGTTGATTTGGTTAGATCAGATCTGGCTTGTAACAAATATTATGGAAACATTACATATGCACTGAATAGTCAATGAAATTGTGCACACAATGCCTAAAAACCTCAGATTTTTGTTGTTGTTATTGTTGATGTTGTTTGCTTCTCTACAATCTAAAATACAATACCTGATTACAGCTATATATACAGAAATTTCTTTTCAACCAAAAATAACCACTTCTACTGCCAAAATAAGGACAAAAGATATTTAACAGAACTTCAACTTATTAGAAGTCTTTCCATAGAGCTGTGGTTTCCAAACTGGGGTGGAAGGTGGGAGGGGACTGAATCAGTTTGCAGAAGTGTAAAATGTTGAAAGTAAACAAACAAAATCTCTCTCTCTCTCTCTCTCTCTCTCTCTCTCTCTCTCTCTCTCTCTCTCTCTCTCTCTCTCTCTCTCTCTCTCTCCCTCTCTCTCTCTCTCTCTCTCTCTCTCTCTCTCCCTCTCTCTCCCTCTCTCTCTCTCCCTCTCTCTCTCTCCCTCTCTCTCTCTCTCTCTCTCTCTCTCCCTCTCTCTCTCTCCCTCTCTCTCTCTCCCTCTCTCTCTCTCTCTCTCTCTCTCTCCCTCTCTCTCTCTCCCTCTCTCTCTCCCTCCCTCTCTCCCTGGAATGTCTAAAGTCAACAAATAAACCTTCAAAAATAGTTTAAGATAATAATCACCTTAAGAAAAGAAAAGAAAAGAAAAGAAAAAAAAACACAGAAAATTTAGCCATTCCATAAACACAAGATAAAAACTTGCAAAATAAGGAAGAAAGAGGAACTGGGGGACCCTCTCTCTCATACACAAGTTAATTATGAAACAACACCCACACAACACTCAACCTCTATTGGTTAATTCTTAGGAATATAGAACAAAGTACTCACATTTCTTGCAGCAATGGTGAAGAAGGCTCCACTCACAAAGGTGATGTAATATCCTGGATAGAAGCCATGCCAGATGGAGGACAGCATGTACGTGAAGAGTGTCTTCTGAGTAGGTGCCCTCTCATACACCATGAAGCGCAGCCACTTCATGGTTCCGCTGTTCCAGGCTTCCAGAGTGTCGCGCAGACTTAGACCAAACTGAAATCACGAAATAATTTTTCATCTTGTCTATGTCCAGCTTTTAAAGACCCAGAGCACTTCTGGAACTGTGTAATAGCAGTTAAGTAATGGGATGTTTGTGATTTATATTACGTATAAATAAATATATATGGAAAATGTTCTGTTAGTAGTAACATTAACCCGTTACCGACGGATTGCAAGTACAGGTGTCATAACATACTGCTTGGTCTGCAGCATACGGCTGTGCATGTGGTGACGCACCAGAGCATGTGGAGTAGGAAGTTCTGCTTCATGTACCGGACTCCAATGCCCAGTGTCTGGCCATTGCCACAAATCACAAGAGTTTATTACGCTCAAAGATTTCTGTTGTCCATCAGTGTCAGGTTAACTATCCTATTATTAACCCACTGTTGTTGTGAGTATGCAATGTCAATGATTGTTTCTTACACATAGTCTTTTACACAGGTCTTTGTCATCATCATATCAAGGCCTGCCTGACTCTTATCTGTTTACCTCATTCCCCATTCAATGAAGCTTTAGGACATACAGCTTATTTTTATAACTAATATTTGTTATGACCCCTTGGATCGAAGTTATGTCACCATCATGTCATGAAAAATTTTGCCTAGGGCTTGGGTGATGGGAATAACTTGTCATAACTGCACAAAGATTTAGAAGTTAGATTAGACTCAAGAGGGGTTTAGGAAGGGGCTTTTGTATTATCTAATCCAATAAACAGGGCTGGAATGTTCCATCTATAAGCCATGTCTGGAAAAGTGCCACCTCCAAGGAGGACACTATTTCCATGCTCAGTATCCTATCCTGCCCATTGTGACCAGTGGCAAAGGTGTCTTACAGAAAATTTTTAAAAAATGAAATACTAAAAAATGAAACAAAGAAAGCAACCTTTCTTACTATTTTTGTTATTGCTTGCTATTGAAGACTACCTAGAGAGAGAATATGGAGTCTAGGATATGGAATAGGGGACCAGGGGTTGTAAGTACCATACATTACAGGAATTCTTATTCTATACTTGGTGTATTAATCCCTTACTGATGGGCCACACCTATCAGCATCATAACAAACCACTCGGTCTACAAGGTATGGCTGTATGCCGTGGCGACGCGCCAGAGCACTTGGAGTGGGACGTTTGGCTTGATGTAGTGGCCTCCCCCGCCCAAAGTCTCGCTCACTGCCAATAATCTCCAGTGTTGAATTTTTATTTATTTTCTTTACCCATCAGTGTTGGGTTGATTCACAAGAAGAGGTGGGACTAAAACAAGGATCTGCTTTTATGATTGGTTAAGAGAGGCAAAGGGGCACATGGGGGTGGGGTAAATGGGGTAGGTATAAGGTGATGTAGCTGGAAAAAAAACTAGCTAAACAGTACCAGAATTACTCATACTATCTACTTACCACACTGTGAGTGAAAAATACACAGGCTGCCAATTTTTCAGAGTGTTGCTTTATTAAGGCTGCTCAAAATTCTGGCTTTTTGTTATGGATGATTGGACTTTAGGGGTCAAGCAAGGTAAGGTAAGGTAATCCTAGTATTTGACTATGGTGACTTGCAAGCCAACAGGGTACCAAAAATTAACAAAACAATATAGGACAAACCTTGCAATTTAGAATACCAAGTTATTACCAAAGTAAATAGTTACCCAATGCCACCGGGAATGGCATGTACGTACATACCATTCCACTGAGAGTTTAGTTTATCAACCCCACGACTATGGGTTTATGTACTATCCCCTGTAGTTTTTTGTGAATGTTGTTACATGCAGATGGCTCCACATGTGCTCAGCCTCCAAGGAAAGAATCAATAGGCCTTAGTGATCAAGCCTGATTTAACCACTCCCTGAATTTGTGGGAAAATGTCTTTTTCTTTCTAATACTATCAATATTGTCACTGTTATTATTCTTATTGATCTTATGATTATTAAATTGTTATTAAAATATTAATAACATTAAACACAATAAAATAATACAAATGAAGTTTTCAAAAAATCAAGGAAAAGGGTAATCAGGTAAGATTGACAAGACTAATAACTGACACCATGGTGACTAAGCACTTGTAGTCATCTATGTGTAAAGACAATAGATGAACTTTAATTACAGTGGGCATGATATTGGTACCACAATTACTTAGTCACTAATGAGCCAATAATAAGTACTACCTATCACCTGTTAATCCTTTTTCTTGATTTTCGGGAATACTTTCTGGTCTCCCATATTGCTGTTAGTAATGTCAATAACAGAAAATGATTATTTTGTATATAATAACAATAAGAGCATCAATATTGATAACAAACTCAAGGAAAGTTTAATAAGATCACAAGGTCTACTAATTGATTCCTTTGTAGCTAAGCAGTTGTGGAGCCATCTACATGCAGACATATTTCACAAAACAACAAAATAATACTACAATGAACACTACATCTTTCTGGCGATGGTGGGTTAAGTTTCTGACAGAGTATGGGCTTGAGAGATTTTGTTGCTCCAGAGAGACTTCGATATATCTTTACAATAGATAAATAAATAAAAAAAGAAAGAAACAAAGAAATGAAAAAGAGAGAGAGAAAGAAAAATCTCACCTCGACCCCAAGAATATCCACATTGGAGACGAGGTTCCATTGCGGCTGTCCATCAGCATTGTACCCGTTGAATCCCATCCCAGACATGTTACATATACTGTCTCCCAACATCCAGCCCGTGTAGTAGACATGACGTGTGAGAGAGGTCACAGCAAGGATGTAAAACGTCTGGGAGAAGAAGTTCATCTGGAAGAACTTGGGATCTGATAAAGAGATTTTGAGAATTAAATACAAAGAGGTCATGTAATAAGTACATATGAATTCATTTTTTTTATCTAATGTTAACCAATTTCTATGATCTAGTAACTGGATATGATGTTTAAGAAAAAAAAATACAATAATTTGAAAGAAGCTAAAAATGACTAAGAGACATGACTCTTTACAACTAAATTTCACACATTTCTCAAAGACAGGAATTGGCAAAAAGTGGCATACTTCTGCCTATCTCTTTTGTAAATGATGAAAACAATTGAAAAATTAGTAAATGAAAGATTATACTAGAGGAAAATATGTAAAAATACCATAAAAGAACACCAACCTGTGATAAAGGAAATGGGGAATTTTGGCAGAAAATATACAGTAACAAAGGCATTGAACGCTGATACCAGAGCCTTGTACATGGCAACTGGAGTGGGGTTAGGTTCATCCTCAGGCCTGGTGTTGAGTTTAGTGTCAGCGAGCTTGCTTTCTGAGGGACTCTTGTTCCTGTTGCTGTCCAGAGAGCTCTGTCAAGGGGAATGAGAATACTTATTTATTTCCAATGAAGCAACCATCAATAACCTTTTTCTCCTCTGATACTCATTAGAGATAATTGATAGTGTAAAATTATATACAATACTCAGCTGAGTATGACTATGACTCATAGAAGGGGTAAAAAATAAATCTTAAAAACCCATTTTTGAATGAATACATACTTATCTCTATTTTTTCATCACAAAACAAAGAAAAAGAAAAAAGAAGAAAAGTAAGCAAGCAGTAACTCAAGTAAAGAAAACAAAGTGTAGACAAAAACAAAAAATCTACAATCAGTTGTTCCCTACCGCAGGAACAACAGTCTGGAGAGCTCTCTTGGCATAGTGGGTCCCCTCAACGAAATCCTGGTAGTCAGCAAACATGAAGTAGGGCCCAGCCAGGATGGAATGGAAGTTGAGCATATATCCAAAATACTCCAAAGCTGTTGGTTTCTTCCTGTGGACAACCATGTTGATATATACAATAAGCTGAATCACAAATGTTAACAGAATGCAAAGCTGAAAAAGTTATTACGGTTACTCTTCATGTATGAATGAAAATCAGGGAGAGACTACTATGAATATGTAGATAAAACAGATATGAAATTATTTTTTCATCACAGAATATCTTTTATGTATCTTTAACTATCTAAAACATGTTTATAGCAAAAATACAATGATATACCATAACGTAACTGAGATATGTAATAGTGTGGTGTGTGGAGGGAGAATGTAGAAGTTCTAGGGTTTGGCTGGACAAAATATGTCGTACAAAACCAGAACCCTTTCCTCACAATCACTACATTTCATTCAAAAGAGGCTCAGGCAGAGGAGGGCCTTATGGGAAGAGAGGGTATGGAGGGATATCATGGGTATCATATTGTCAAGTCTGAAACAGAAGGTTTTATATTTACTTTCTCAGTGAAAGTCAGGGGAAACATTTATAGTGAATTCATTACACCGTGCAAGTTTTTTGTGAAGATTAATCTCTTAACCTGTTACTGCCGGGCCAGTAACAGGTCATTCAAAATGAAGAGTCATGAGCAAAATCCTGTCAATTTTTGACATGCCTCCTACAATCATGATGGATAGGATTAAGAGCTCCTTCTGGATTTTGCTATATTTATGTTGGACAGGATTTAACCCTTAGATGACGGTATTAGAAATCTGTTGACGTCATAGTGATTTTTGGCAACCATCTTGCTGTTTGGAGGGGGGAGTCCACTACATGTAGCAGAACTTCCCGCTCAGCACATCACCATGCATATAGCGTACCCAGCAGATCAAGTGGTTTGTTATGACGGCTATACACATGGCCCGGCAGTAACAGGTTAAGAGATTAATCTTCACAAAAAACTTGGCAAGATTAACACTTTAATGCACAGTGTAATGAATTCACTATAAATGTTTCCCTTGACTTTCACTGAGAGAGTAAATATAAAACCTTCTGTTTCAGACTTGACAATATTGTCTAGCTTCCCCTTTTCAATTGGAAGCTCTTTGCTAGAGCCTGAGGTCTTCGCTGTTCCTCTAGGATTAACACTAACCCTCACCTCACTAATAAGTGTTTCTGAAATTACAAAAACAACCCTCACCAATGTTCTGTTTAAAAACAAACACTAATCCTCATCTCACAACCTATACTGCTTTTGTAATCTTCCTGCAATTAATAACAAAAATTAATACCTACCTAACCACCATCTCCTTCTGCAGCTGGGTGAGTTCTTCATCTTTCAGCCCTGACAATCCGTCATGCAAGCTGTATGCCAGCGATGTTGCCTTCTGCACCATAATCATCATGGGACCTGAGTGAGACAAATAAAATGCTGGAGCATCAGGTAGTCTCTCTGTTTCATATATATTTTTCTGTTTTAACCCAATGGCGCCGGGTGTACAAAAGAAAAAAAAAACTCTACGCTTAAGCAAACAAAGACATCAGCCCGAATCACTGGCTCGTTCGGCTGCACGCCAGCTTTCGAGCTCTTTGTTTACACACCGATCGGCGTCACCTGGCACGAAGGGGTTAATGTGGCAGAAATGAGATGATTACTTATTCTGAATAAAATACATTTTATCATTTTTTTCCATATTTCTTTGAATTGTTAACCTTGGAACATGTCATAGTTTCTCAGAAAATATACACTTTAAGTTTGTAGTCCTTCACTAGAGGAGATTCTAAGCTCGACTCTCCAGTGAGTGAAATGTAAATGATGAGAAAAATAAACACCTCTCAGAGCCAACTAAGCTATATGGAATAGTATTCCAAACTACTATAGACTGGTGAAGAGGATATCTAAAAGGGGACTACTGCTTTATTGAGGGAGAATCAAGACTGGTGTAAAATAATGTAAAGGAAATCGTCACTCCAGCTGAAAATTCCAGATGTGACCAAATTCTCACAACAGAAATAGGCCAAGTAAATGGATATAATGAAGCGGTGGAGTGCTAGAACTGAACTTTACTGTAAATGTAAATGTAAATTAACCCTTACAATCCAGATGATATGACCCTCACATCATGAAAAAATTTGGCTTGAGAGGCAGATGATGTAAATATTGGGAATGACTCACTACAAATGCATAAAGCTCTTGGAGAGTGATTAGACTCATCTGGCATTTAGGAAGCAGATCTTGCATTACTTCCATTGATAAATGAGTGTGGAATGTACTGTCTGTGATACCTGCCCACCATGACCAGCGGCACAAAAAATTGAATATTAGAAAAAATGTTATTTATTATTATTATTGCACTGAGTTAAGGACTACCTAGAGAGATGATATTGAGTCTGTACAAAGTAAATAGTCTATTGCCATCTGGATAAAGCATATCAAATGACAAATATATACATTGGAAAATAGCAAAAAGACTAAAAAATGCTCATGCAAAAAGAGAGAAAATAACACTGCAACGGGGAGGAATGGAGTCTTATCAACCCACACAAGTATTCATACAAGAGCACTGGCTCCATGGAGGACACCATTTCCATGCTCAGCATCATATTCCTGGCACCTTCAACGGTGACGCGGGTTGTTTTACAGAAAATTTAATATTGCGTAAATAAAAATTAAATGGCAAAAGTAACATAGTGTTACATGATTTGAGAGAGATGACTGAAGTCTATGCAAAGAAAAAATCTATTACCATCAGGATAGTGCAAATCAAATGACAAATATGGACATTGGAAAATGGCCTAGAACCTAAAAACATTTATGCATAAAAAGAGTTAAAAAACCAGTTGGCCTACAAAAAGCCAGCTGGTAGAGCAGCCACTCATGTAAGCCATGACATAACCAGATCCAATGGGTTAAGGTTCCATAAACACCAGAGGAAACAAGTTGAGACTGTGGAAGAGGAAGAGGAAGTACCAAACTTAAATAATAGAAGTATAGCAAATATTAAAACTGGTAAAATTTGAAACACTCCCACAGCAAATGTCAGCTCTCGAGACAGGGAAGAAGGAAACAGTTGTGATAAGAGTGTTGAATTAATGGTTACAGTGAAGGAAGACACTGTAACTGATTGGATTAATCGCACAGGTGAAAGTGACATTTGAGTGATGTACAGGCTAAGCTATTGAGATTTTTATTCAGATATAGATCCTCCTCAATCAGTAACAGATAGTTCATCAAAATTACTGAACAGGAAGATATACCTAGACCTAGTTTGGCAAGGAGGTTAAGCTGAAAAAGCATGAACAAATGCAAAATCATGATGGTAAAACAAAACTTATAGAGTTCAGTTTGTATGAAGAGGTGCTTATACAGAATTACAGTGGAAGGGGGATGAGATGGCTACCATTGGTGGTTCAAGTTACCGGGTTCCTCTCATATTAAGTAGAATTATGAGATGGGAGAATAAAGAGAAGGCATGTAGACCAAATGAGATCCAGAGTAGGTTACAAGGCACTATCCAGAAGATAAGAAACAACAATAATTAGAACCCAACTATAATCTTGGTTGATACTGGTGGGGCAGAGCCTCAAAAATCAGTAAAGAACAGTGGAATGAAGAGTGAAGCTACATTGACCAAGCCTGAGACTAGTATACAATCAGAAAGCTTGACCAGGTCTTTCATCAGTCAAGCAACTATGTCAACCACAGTATCTGGTACACAAAATGACACAACTACAAGGACAGGTTTAGTAGTAAAGCAACCACAAAAACTGAATTTATAATATACAATATTGCTTAATTTGTTGTAAGCTATTATTTTTATGGAAAAAAAAAATCATATTTTTATGTTCAGCAACTATATACTTTAAAGTTTGTAGCACCTTACTAGAGGGGCCTACTGAGCTGGGACTCTGAAGTGAGTGAAATATAAACAATAAGGAAAATAAATGCCTCATGAAATGAAGAATGTTTCTCTCAGAGGCAACGTAACTATACAGAATAGTATACCAAGTTACTATAAAACATATTTCTATACTACAAAAAAAGGTTTCTAGAGTTGAACTGTTATAAAAAATCATGGAACTGATTAAACATATTTTACAAAGGTTTACTCTGGAACATTACTAAGGGAGTGGTGCATAGTTTACATAAAACAAACAAACACACACACACAAATAATAAAAAACTAAACTAAACTAAAATAATAATAATAATAAATAAAAATAATGGAATATATATAGGAATTACAAGGCTGATAATAATGACACCAATGATAAGTGGTTTAATAACAATGGAGAGAGTAAAGTAAGATGTTACCTGACTTCTGTATACATTTATCATAGAGACAATTGGGCAAACAGACAATAAGATGTCAAGGAATAGAGGAAAGGAGGCTGGGAGTTAAGAGAAGACAAGAGGGAGAGAAGAGTAGAGGAAGCTGGGAGTAAAGAGAAGACAAGAGGGAGAGAAGAGGAGAGGAGGCTGGGAGTAGAAAAGAAAAGAGGGAGAGAAGAAGAGGGAGGTAGGGAAAGAGAGAAACAGAGATAAGGGAGATAAGAAGTGAAACAGATATGTGGAGAATAAAAAAAAAAAGAAAAAAATAGAACGAAATTAAGGCCATAACAAAAATAAATCATATAATGAATGAAAAAACAAACAAAAAGAGAGACATAGAAAGAGAATATGATCAAGACACAAGAAATGTGAGAGGAAAGTTATCCAATAAACACTCAAGTTATCCAGTTATAACCAGATAACTGGATAACTCTGTGATCTGATAGTTAAAAAAGTCTCTCAATGGTGCTATCAGGGATATATATCTTCCATTAATATTTGCTGATAAACGTTTTATACCCTCTACGTAAACATACTCTTAACTTTTTCATAATCAGTTATAAACCTACTTTTACTGATAAGCTACACATCCTTGTTACCAGGGTGTTACCAAGCTTCCTGATTTAACTCAATGTAAAAAGAAGGGAAGAAAGATAAGAAGAAAAGAAAAGAAAAGAAAAGAAAAATATTATATATATATATATATATATATATATATATATATATATATATATATATATATATATATATATATATATATACTGTTTATAAAAAGATACATACATACATACATTATATATATATATATATATATATATATATATATATATATATATATATATATATATATATATATATATATATATATATATATATATATTTTTTTTTTTTTTTTTTTTTTTTATATTATAATAATAATAATAATAATAATAATAATAATAATAATAATAGTAATAATAATAGTAACATCATATTAGATAATAATAATAAACAATCATCAACCAAACCCAAGTTGTTCAGAAACTTAAAAAATCTTTTCTCCACTTACCTGTCACATCAATAACAAAGACCCCATCCTCATACAGCTGCCGTTGTATGTGCATCACAGAGAGGAAGGTGATAGACGACGCAAGGGTCACATGATGCAGCAGTGTTATTGGGAGAAGCAGCATCAACAGATAACACCCAACCACAAGAGCCAAGGCAAGCAACACCTGTCTAAAGAATATAAATCATTACTTATCTATACATATATTGCCAGTATTTGCCTTTAGCAAAATTCTTTAATGTATGTAGTATGAAGTCAAGAGATGGTACTTATAGATATTTCCTCTAATAGTACCCAAAATATGAAAACATCCATAGATGAGACTTTTTACAGATGTACATGTGCATATATGTAGCTATATACTTGCAAATGAATGCAAATGCACACCCCCACCATATCTAATGAACCAAGGTATCTATAAGGGAGGAAGTGTTATCTCTATTGAAGTCTGTGGTAATAGAAAAAGACATATGATTTTTCCCTGTAATAATAATAGCTTTTGCAAGCTAAACAAAAAAAAAAAATTTTAGTTGCACTTCTGATACTGATATTGACAATTTATATAAAAAAAAACTAATCCATAAGTGAAAACAACTTCTGTGTCCTGACTGGCTAGCTCTGATGCCACTCAATGACATCACTAAGCCCCACCTCATTTTATCGTCTGTAACTTATGTGGTGGGAAAGTGGTCTGTTTAAGTATGTTGACATACTGCACAATTTTACTATACTGGCATCTTGTGCTTCATGTTTTTCCCCATATAATGTAATAACTCATATGATATATCAAACCTTTCAATTCCATTCACCGAGCTCTGTGACTCCGTAGATTACCAGAACAACGGTCACTGATTTAACCCATTCGCCACAGATTTATGTTCTGTCCCCTGTAATTTTTAGTGAATTATGTTACATACAGATGGCTCCACATGTACTCAGCCGGCAAGGAATCTATCAGTAGGCCCTAGTTACCGACCCTGATTTTCCCATTCATTGCAATGGCGGGAAAATTAATACCATTGCTATCGATACTGTTATTATTGTTATTGATGTTATGATTACCAAATTGTCACTAGAATGACAATGAAATGATACAAAAAAAAACCTTTCCAAAAGTGAAGGAAAAGGGTAAACAGGTGAAATAGGTAGTTCTTGATAACTGGCTGTTTGGTGATTAAGAACTTGTGGAGCCATCTATGTGTAAATACAATAAATAAACGTGTCTCAAAGTGGGTATGGCATCTATTCTTGCCAAATGTGGCGAATGGGTTAATATATCTAACTCATACAGTTTATGTTGTTGTAAAGGTAAAGCTACTTATGCTATCTGAATGAAATCTGACCTACACTGAATTTATGATCTTTACATAAATATAAGGTATATTTGGTACTATATGTGTGTGTGTGTCAAGTGCACACAGTAGCTCTGTCAAAATGGGGTGTGGCTAAGGCAGGTTAATTTCCTTCCGTTCCACATGCAACTACCTCCCTTACAGCCTCCTTGAAATAGATAAGCAGATAACAAAGATTCAAAGAGAATACAATGAGAACAAAAGATATATGTAGTTTGTCACTTTTTTTTTCCTAATGCATTCTTATCTTATCACACCTCTTATCAAAGTTCATCTAGTAATACCAACAGCAGTGGTTTATCAATCATCCTCCACTGACAAGATACAGATTCCTTTATCATGGGCAAGGCCTCTTTACACACGTATAACCACACCTTCTTGATGAAAACCCTCGTTGGCAACTTCTAACCTAAACCCAGTCTCATCACCTTTATTCATTGCAAATATTAAATATCTTTCTTATTTCCCTTTTTCTTGGTTTCATTTTCGATCATTTCTTTACCATTGTTATTAACCCAATGCTGACAGGCATGACGTGTATGTATGTGCCATGCCCACATAGATGGCTAAACTTGTACTAAGTCACCAATGAGCCACTTATGAGCACTGCTTGTCTCGCCGGCTTACCCTTTTCTTTGATTTACGAAAATATTTTACGTTATCTTATTTTGCTGTTACGAATGTCTTTAACATTATGGTAATTTTAATGTTTATAATAAAAATAACACCATTAATATTCATAGCACTTGTAAAAAATATGTTTTTCCCACCAATTCAAATCAGGTAAGGTCACAAGGTCTACTAATTGACTTCTTTGTGGCTAAGCACTAGCAAAGCCGTCTATGTGCAGAGACATTACACAAAAAATATTAAAAAAGAGCAAAGCATTTTCCCAATTTTTTATTTAGGGAGAGGGGGAGAGAGAGAGAGAGAGAGAGAGAGAGAGAGAGAGAGAGAGAGAGAGAGAGAGAGAGAGAGAGAGAGAGAGAGAGAGAGAGAGAGAGAGAGAGAGGGGGAGAGAGAGAGAGGGGGGGGAGAGAGAGAGAGAGAGAGAGAGAGAGAGAGAGAGAGAGAGAGAGAGAGAGAGAGAGAGAGAGAGAGAGAGAGAGAGAGAGAGAGAGAGAAAGAAATACAGACACAAATGTCAAAGTATGAGTTTCATCAAAAGCATACATCAAAACTCAACTCTTACTTTCCGAAACAGAAATAGGAGATGCCCAGCCCCGCCAGGAGAGAGCCCCAGTGACGCGTTGCAGCCGACACGCGGGACGGATGGAGATACACTCTGAATATGTAGGCCAGCAATAAGGCCATCAGCTGGCCAAACACGAAGTTGACCTGCAACGAAAACCCCAAGCATTAATTCTCAGTCTCACTGTTCACCTGTACATGCCATGAACGAAAAATAGTAAGAGTGGGAAGTATGCATTCAAGGGGTGTATGGTAAAAAAATACAGAATAAGTAACAAAAGAATATAATAAAAAAAACTGCATGATTTCTTTAGTGTCACAGACTGTATGTGAGAAAATAATCAATAATGGATATTCAAATAGTTCATGCAGACTCTTTTTCAACATTTCTCTAACTGTTTCTTGCCAGAAATTCTACCTGGAGGGTGAAAAGGTTAAAATCACATACCCAAAAATGCTGGAAAAATAAAATTAAATAGGTGTGGATACATGCTCAAATTCATTATCTTCTACATGTTATGCAATATCTCGAAACAGAAAACAAAACATTTTTCCTAGACTTAAGACCAATCCTAGCCATAAGAACAACAGACACGTCTTACTTTGATCTATCAACATCAAAAATAAGTGACTACATTTCACCTCTAAATTCATCACTACTCTCCTCCCCTCATGTACAGATACATAAATACCCAAAAGTTTAATGCAAACCTGTTGAGCTGTTGGAAATTTCATCAATATTCTTAACATATTATCTTTTATGTTCTAAGGTACTCTATCTGTTAGAATTTAGTATTCATATCAGCTTCTATCATATTTCCTATCCTCTACATGTAGTCAATAAACAATGTGAACAATAAATCAATTGTACCACAAAATTTCTCATAATCATTCTTAAGCTCAATAATTTTTTCTACAATGCATAATCTGTCTCTTAAATCTACCTCCTACATTTAACCTTTTCTATAACTTTTACAATCCTGTATCCACCTAACTGAAACAGTTACCCTGCTCTATACTCTGACAGAGTAAATGTAAAAAGAAAAAAGAAATTTACTACAAATGCCTATTACCTATACCTAAAATATTCTTCTGTTCTTACAAACAACCATAAAAATCAGACAAACAATATAAACAAAATAAAACACTAGGGGAAAAAAATCTTGTTTTTTAAAACCTTCTACTGACTCTTGTTACTCTATAGAATAATCTTATACAATATTTTCACATAAAGGTATTTGATCAAATCTCCTATGCAATTAAATGTAACTTAAAACATAACACATGTACATTTCCTGTACAATGACACTACCAATAACAACCATGAAAACTACCTCAGAAATTGGTGTATTATTTGATAAGAAGTTGTATAAAAAAAAAATACTTGGTTTGTATTTTCTGATGAAGATTTACTGCTAACTATGGCAAATATAGAAACTTCCTGCATACTTGTACTCTAGGTGACTAACTACTTTTCTATCTAACACTAATTATTGCTTTGGAGTACAGCTGTAAATTAATTAAGTCTAAGCATCTAAAAATCTAACACAAGGCACTATAGTTTACAAAATTTAATGACTATAAGGTTACATGACTACAAATACAAACATACACAAAAACATACAAGCCCTAATGATGAGGCAGATATTCACCAATTAAGTAATGAGAGAGAGAGAGAGAGAGAGAGAGAGAGAGAGAGAGAGAGAGAGAGAGAGAGAGAGAGAGAGAGAGGAGAGAGAGGAGAGAGAGGAGAGAGAGGAGAGAGAGGAGAGAGAGGAGAGAGAGGAGAGAGAGGAGAGAGGAGAGAGAGGGAGAGAGGGAGAGAGGGAGAGAGGGAGAGAGGGAGAGAGGGAGAGAGGGAGAGAGGGAGAGAGGGGGAGAGGGGGAGAGAGAGAGAGAGAGAGAGAGAGAGAGAGAGAGAGAGAGAGAGAGAGAGAGAGAGAGAGAGAGAGAGAGAGAGAGAGAGAGAGAGAGAGGGGGGGGGGGGGGAGAGAGGGGGGAGAGAGAGGGGAGAGGAGAGGAGAGAGGAGAGGAGAGAGGAGAGGAGAGAGGAGAGGGGAGAGGAGAGAGAGGGGAGAGGAGAGGGAGAGGGAGGGGGAGGGGGAGGGGGAGGGGGGAGGGGAGGGGGAGGCAGAGGGAGAGAGGGAGAGAGGGAGAGAGGGAGAGAGGGAGAGAGGGAGAGAGGGAGAGAGGGAGAGAGGGAGAGAGGGAGAGAGAGAGAGAGAGAGAGAGAGAGAGAGAGAGAGAGAGAGAGAGAGAGAGAGAGAGAGAGAGAGAGAGAGAGAGAGAGAGAGGGAGAGAGAGAATGTATGTATATTTAATACTTCTTAATATTGTACTGAATATTCTACCAGATCCAAAAGTATAATCTTCATTATGTTTTTAAAGAATAAATAAATGAAGAATTATATATGTAATCCCAGAATTTCTGAAATAAATCAACACTAAAAGAAATGTCGATTGGCTACCTTATTACGTATAGGTGCTCAAGATTTACTGAAAAATAAACATTAATTGCAGTACCATAAGAAAGTTTAACAACTATCTCACAAACAAAATATAATGCATTCCTTTTTATACGAGGTTGCACAATGCAGTACATGCATCTTGGAGTAATATTTTTCAAATTCTAATTGAAGTTTTGCACAAATGTATATAAAATCTGCTTCAGATATATAAGAAAACAGATGAGGAAAATCATAAGTATCAACAAACAGATAATCAACATGGACATATGAAGAAAAAACTTCTATAGTTCTAAAAATGGCAATATGCCTGGAGAATGTACACAAACTAAGAGACACAAACTATTATCCCCATTGGGTGCTGTGATCTGGAATTCAGTATCCAGTATATGCCACATCTCACTACTGTCACTTCCATTTAATTGATTTCGTGCAGGCTGAAAGTGTGCATGAAAATAATCCATTTGAATGATATTAATACTATAAACTATTAGATATAACAACACTACATGACAATTATAAAGGACCGATCTGGAAGCAAGCTCAGCATCTAGCAGGGCCAAGGCCACAAGCCAACAACAGCATAAGGACAAACATAAATGGTAAGAATAAAACAGGTAGGGCAAATGTAATACTAACTATGCTATACTAAAAGAATGACGGGAGAGATGACAGGGTGGTGTCATCTCTCGCTTTAAAAGTATACTCACAGTCATCTTGATATGCCATGAAACAAGAAAAAGAGAGAGACAATTTCTGCAACTCCAACTACCATAAGTAGTGGGAAGCAGAGAATCAAGATAAATAGGGAGATTGGGGGAGAATTATGGTGAATATAGAGAGAGGACAGGAGAGGGAGGAGAGGGGGGAGAGGGGGAGAGGAGAGAAAGGAGGGGGGCAAAGTGGAGGAAATGGATAATGAAGTGAATATACAGCAGATGCAGCAAGAAAAATAAAGTAAAGAAACAAAATGGAAGAAAATGATGGAAGATAGTGGATGGGAAAAGAAATAACAGGAAAAAAAAAAAAAGGAAATGAAAGAAACACAAAGAGGGATATGAAATGAAGGCCAAAAATAGTGGAGTGGGAATAAGGAGAAGATCAAAGAAAGAGTTAGTAGGCAAGAAACAACAAAAGAATTTAAACAACAGCAAAAAACAGCAGCGAGTTAAACTGGTACGACCAGACTTGTGAATGGAAGATATGGACGAAGGCAAGGACGAGGGCATGAATAAGGGTAGAGAATAGGGAAGATGGTGAGGGAAAGAATGGAGAGAAAGAACGGAGAGAAAAGGGATCATGGAGAGAATGAGGATTGGGGAAATGGAGGAGGACGAAAGGGAAACACACACAATAATAGTCAGCATGAAAAGCTGGAACACTTATCTACAGGAAAATGAACCGTAATACAAAAAATAGCATAAAATCAATACGTAACACAACATGGAAGAAACAAATCTGAAAGGCACATTCAGCATTTCATCAGGGAGGAAAAGCTGAAATCTTGAAGACATTTAGATAAAGTCTTGTTTATATAACTTATGTATCTTTAAATAGCTAATCCTTAATGTGTCAATATTGTATACAAAATTTATATACCATTTACATACTTTTAGAACATGTGACATATTAATAGATATCATATCCTTTGCATAACACATATTACAATTTTATCCCTGATCTAAAACTATTGAAATTTACCAAAACAAACATAAAAACAACTATTTCCTCTCAGTACATTACACAAAAAAATAACAAAATCACAAGATTCACTTAGTGTAAAAAACAAAAAATAAAGTTTCCGGTTCTTGTACCAAATAGGAATCACCAGTCGCTAAAACACACACACCAGCTATGTATGAGACTCATTACCTCATAAATACAAACAAAAAGGGACACTTCTTAACGGCAATAAAAAAAAAAAAAAACTCGAGGGCCAGGGGGGGATGGGGGAGGGGGGGATGGGGAGAGAAGAACCTTTGACATTTCACTAAAGGGAAATCTGCAGCTATGAGTCACAGAAGTGGGTAGGGAAGTGGAGAGGTGGTGGAGGACCAATGAAGGGTAAAAGGGAGGGTAAGGGGTGGGGGGGGGAGAAGGGGGGGAGTTAGATTTCCTGTGGTTACTCTTTGTGGTAATTCCTGTGGTGGCTCTTTGTCACGGCATGCGAATGCCTTTGCCTGCTGTCACTGCCCCTTGTTAATTGATAGGCTAAAATTAGGTGCTCTGAATCTCAATTTGCTACTACCTTCTAATGGGAGGGAGAGGGAGAAGGAAAGGAAGGAGAAGGAAAGAGATAGAGAGAGAAGGAAAGAGAGAGGGAACGGGATTTTTTTTTTTTTTTTTTTATCTTTTTACTTTTGGTATATTATTCTTATTTCCTGTAATCCCATTCAAATTCTAAAATGATTAAAATTATTGGAGATTAAGTATTTCAATTGTTTCTTCCATATTTTCTCTGTTCTACTTATATATTTGCAAAACACTTTATAAAGCTAAGATTAACACAGTTTTCCTATTAAATAATAAATGACCACATACTAAAAATGATGATCACAGTAATAATGACAAAATAGGTCAAAATCATTTTAAAAATAAATTACGTGAAAGGATACCTATCATAAGTCTTAAGAATGATAAAAGAAAAACAGGAATAAATATTAGCAAACAGAGTAATACAGA